GGGGGACAAGGAGGGGGGGGGGGGAACCGGCCTTTAAGATGGCTCCCCGCAGCACTGGCTCCTTCCGGCCCCCTCCCCCGCTGCCTTTATAGAGGCTGATCGGGTAGTTGACTACTCACTAACATCCTTAATGGCAACAAGACTACAATGGTTAGACAGAATATGAGAGACTAAAGACATGATCCAAACTGATTATTTTCTGATTTTATTTCTTGGCCGTGTCTCTATCCATCTACATCACTTTTAATAAAATGCATATCTGAGTTCAAATAATCATCGATATGTACAGCTGTAAGGGACCTCAAGAGGTCATCAAGTCCAGCCTCCTTCACTGAGGCAGGATCAAATAAGCCTAGGACATCCATGATAGGTTTGCCACACCTGTTAAAAACCTCCAGGGATGGGGATTCCAAAACCACTCTTGGAAGCCTATTCCAGAGTGCAGCTAACTTTATAGTTGGATTGTTTCTCCTAATACCTAACCTAAATCCCCCTTGCTGAAGATAAAGGCAATTATAACTTACCCTATCTTCAGTGGACAGGGAGAACAATTGATAAGAGTCCCCTTTATAACAGTCTGTAACATATCTGAAAATGGTTGTCAGGTTCCCCATCAATCTTCCTTCCCCAGAACTATAATGTGCCAAGTTTTTAACCTTTCCTCACAGGTCAGATTTTCTAAGTCTTCAATATGATCTAGTTGTTCAGAAATTTCACATCTTACTTTGTTCTGATATTTACATGTGGATATGTTTAATTTGATTTAAACATGACCTGTATCAATAAAACGCAATGCCTTAGATAAGGCAAAGCCGCACAAGGCTTTAGTTCAAGCTGCCTGTCCTTGTCACTATCTTAATCTTTGACTTCATTGTAGTAACAGTTCAAAAATCCAAAATGCAAAGTGAAAGCAAGGGCAAAAAACAAGGTAATCCTCAACAGCATCATGGAAGTCCACAAATCAGGCTTTAAATAACTGTTGTGGCCAACCACATGGCAGATAATGGGGAGACAGATTGGCAGCAGGCAATCATACTTATGGTGCTTTTGGGGAGTAGAAAGAATCATTTAAAGAACAGCCAAAACAAAGTTGCTTGAAGATTCAAAAGCCAATGGAGTGACCACAAAATGCAATAGCCACAGGAGGTAGCTGAGTGAGAACTGGAGTTTTAGTGCCTGGCCTGCTGCCAATCAGATTCCTAGAAAAGGTTTGTACCAGTTGAAGTTATCTGGCTACACAGTCAGCAAAAAGAACATTACAAGTCTAAATGGGATGAAACATATCCATTAGCAACAAAATCAGAAAAAAGGAGTTACACCTGGCAACATATCTTACTCCTGAGGGAATTCTGCATTAAAAATGAAATATTCTGTACCACAAGATAAAATAGTCCATGCACAATATTTCAAAATTCTGCAAAGTTCTGCTTATTTTGTCAAAATAACAATATAATCACACTATTTTCAATTATTTGCTGACAAATGTTTTGAAATAAATTATCAAAATAATGGACATAGTGTGATTATATTCTTGCTGTGTGTTAGTTTGATAATTAAAATGCATAGCTTTGCAGAAAAATATATTTTTTTAAAAATTTTCAGTGGAGAATTACCTCAAGAGTACCAGGGGTTGTGTGTAGTGCTATTTGAATAAGGGCACCCTGGTGGGGAGACTGGGTGCAGGGGAGGAGGGGCAGGGAAATCAATGCAGAGGTTCAGTAT